TGTCTCTTTGTCTCTTTGTCTCTTTGTCTTTCTCTGTTTGTCTGTTTGTCCTGTTTGTATGTCTGTCTTTCTCTGTTTGTCTGGTTGTCTGTCTGTCTGTCTGTCTGTCTGTCTGTCTGTCTGTCTGTCTCTGTCTCTTTCTGTCTGTCTGTCTGTCTCTCTGTCTCTCTGTCTCTCTGTCTCTCTGTCTCTCTGTCTCTCTGTCTCTCTGTCTCTCTGTCTCTCTGTCTCTCTGTGTCTCTGTGTCTTTGTCTCTTTGTCTCTTTGTCTCTTTGTCTCTTTGTCTTTCTCTGTTTGTCTGTTTGTCTGTCTGTCTGTGTGTCTGTGTGTCTGTGTGTCTGTCTCTTTGTCTCTTTGTCTCTTTGTCTCTTTGTCTCTTTGTCTCTTTGTCTTTCTCTCTCTCCCTCTCTAGTTTTTCCCCCCAGCCACAAAATGCGAGAAGTCGACCCACTGAAAGTCCACAGAGGGTTTATTATGTCAAGGTTATGCAACAATGCCCGCGGCCGTGTCAAAGGTTCCCGCCTCCAAACGTGCCCGCTCCGCTCGCAGCCCGCCTATGTGTCCTCACATGCGGAAGAAAGGTCATGATTTTGGGTCGCTTCTATTCCTCAGTTCTCGCGCCTTCCTCGCAGTGCATCTAGTCACATCTAATCTGGTGTTAAAGATTGCAGGCGGGCGCATGCATGCTTAGTGGGAGCTGACCTTAAGTCCTTCGATTTATGCATGCATGCCATACATAATATGTGCATGCACTTGGCAGGTTTGCGGCAGTGTTCCTGCTCTCAGGATTCGGTGTTTCACAACAGGAGGCCAGAGGGAAGACATATTGGCGAACTGTAGCTTATTGACAGGATACTGCCTCGTGTATCATCGCCGATGCGGGTTCACTCAGCAGAAGGACACTTTGCGCACTCCTTCCTGTTTCTAGTGTAATGCACGACAGCCAAACAGGTCATTGTCCTGATTTTCATAGCACTTGTGCATGCACCTTTAATTGCTCAAACCAGCTGTAATTGTGATTGCTGCTGTGATTCAACAAGCCTGGCTATGACTGGCTTGTTTCCGCTGCGAGTCCACGTGGTTGCCATGACTATAGCCGACATGCCAAGGTCCATTCGGAGCTAAACATTTGGCAGCCTCTTAGGGAGATCGGATTCCTTCACACTTTCCCTGAGAATTGTTTCCTTGAGGTGCTCCTGTGAAGCTGAGGCTTTGGCAATCCAGAGCTACGGACGACCTTTTGCCACCGGTCGCAGCGACTGCAAGACCTTCTACCCTTTTGCAAAGAGTCCGGTGCTTCAGCGGCAACGAGACGTCTCCGTTCGCTCGCTTGACGATTTGCTTGCTTTGGATGGAGATTCGGTCAGTATCAGCCGCTCAGATCTGCCCTGTTGCCAGGTTCGTTTGATATTCAGTGGGCTCCTGATTGGAGACTTTTATGTGTTTTCTCCGAGTGTTAAATGCTGGTCGGTGTCGGCCCCGATATGCTGAGGAGGTTGGCCCTAGATTCTGGGAGGGAAACGGGCTCAGTCCTGGGCCGAAGGCTTCAGCATTCGCTCACAAGCAAAACGACAGTGGAACTGGGAAGGGGTGAGGAACTGGATGTCGGAGACACGGCTTTTGCCTGCGAACTGGATGTTTGAGACACGGCTTTTGCCTGCGTGCCTCGCAGGCTGACGTAGAAACCTGGCGATGAGTGAGGGCCAACGGAAATTGCGTGGATTGCATGATGATCGTGTGCACGATGCTTTTGAATTTGCGAGACGCTATAACACATTGCTCGCCCCGAAGGGGCCTTGAATTTTTGTGCCCAACCCGTGGCAAGACCACGCTCTTTTGGGTGCTCGTCCGCAAGGACTGAGACTAAGATTTGGGCCGCCCCCTTCTTAAGTTGCTAGGGCGCATGGCTCCGAAGCAGGGCATTACACCGCATTGCTTCGATCAGTGTACAGCTGAGTTTTATGCGGCTGTGCAACTTCCTTGGGCCGAATAAGGAGCCTTTGGATGCAACCGCGACCAAGCTCGCTTATTGCACCGCATTGCAAAAACACAGAACGTATCAGAACGCACATGTGAGATCATTTGTGGGATCGTAAATGCGCAGCCAGACAATTGGATGATTTGATCCAAAGAACTTCCTGAGGGTTTGCGCCGCATGTTCGCCTCAGCAATGCCCACACGCACAAACCCCATTCGGGTACCATCCAGCCCCATGTCACCAAGCTGTTGGCAGTGCCGATCTGGGCTTCTGAACCCCTCTGTAGGACCACCCCGCCAATCGGTGACCCTTTGGCGCTTGTTGGATTATGCTGGCTACGTTCTAAAATATTCCGGCTTGTGGACAAGACCGTACCACCCTAACCTGACCATTTCTCAGGTTGCCATCCTCGCCCCTTCCCTGCAAGTACAAAGGCAGCTCAAATTTCCGGGGCCAGCCCGCGTTTGCCATTTCCTGAATTTTGATCACCCTCTTCCGGTTTGAAAGGCCCATCTCTGCCGAATATGCACCAAAGGACATGCTGTCACGCCTTCAAGGGGAAGATGAACGCTAAGCACCCACCATTCAACACCAGTATCACCTCGGGACGAGACTTGGTCATCCGCTTCCCGAATTTTCCCCTAACCTCTTCGCAAAAAGTCCCGGCAAACAAACACAAGCACAGCTGAGCCAGGGACAATCCCAACCAGAAATTGCAGATATCCGCCTTCTTAATTCTTGAAGCATGGTTCTGGGATTCCGGGTCGACCACTTTGATACCGGGTTTTGAGCAAGTGACGCAGATGAACGTTTTTTTGGGTAGCTTCTAGGGGTGCCTTCCATTTCCAAGATCCGAATCTTTCTAGAAAACCGCTTGGGACGCCCCTGGAGCCCAGGAGTTGGAGCGCTTGGACCAGGGCGGGCTGTGGCCCTGCCGCCTCGGCCAAGCACAGCTTTTCCTCGGCACGACCTCGCATGCGCGCGGAGCCCCGGCCCCGTGAACCATGGCAAGATGAGAGTCCTATGCGCGGCTTGATTTCGCTTTTGTTTGTTTGTTATGAGATATGACGCTTTTGGTTCTATAGTTCATGCTCTGTTTGAAAAAAAATAAAATTGGGAGCGCCCGAGGCTTTGATCTTCTCAACATGTTGATTTGAATTTTGCTGCTGGCACCTGCGACAGTTGCAATTACATTGTCCTTGGCCGCTGCGATACGGGTCGGTGTTTGATGTCTTGCAGCGATATTTACATGCGCGTCGGAGTCTCAACAAAACAAATCGCACCTAGCGCAAACCACATACACAGTCGGGGTTTCCCTCATTTGGGCGTATGGTGCACCGATTGTTGGGTTGTTTTAAGCGAGGCCAATTGCAGTGCCCCACCGCGGATTGCGAATTAGGACTGGGACCCCCGCTCTTTTGAGGTTGAGCTGCCTGCAACGTGCGGGTGAACGCCTGAAGCGCGCTGAGAAGGCAAGGGCTTTCTGACAGGTAGTCCAACCTCAATGGAAGACGGCCAACACATTTTAGGAATGCCAACCATTCACAATAGCCCCAATGTCTGTGTCCTATTTAAGTTCAAGAATTGATCAGCATTATAAAGAACGAGTGTTGCAACCTAATTTCTCAAGCAAAGTCCAAGCTTCGCCTAAATATCGGCACGCTAACGGTTTGGCGAGCAAGATGAGAGCGAGCGCTGAGCCCGGGCTGTGCTCCAATTCGCCATGGGATTGAGGACATGGAGCCACTTGATCTGCCAGCAGAGGCTGAAGTTCGGACTTGGCTTGGCTACGGACGCTTGCCTCGAGGGCAGGAGGGGGAACCTTTGCCGCCTTCATGTCTCCCGCGCGAATTTTGCAGCTACTGGTGCCAATGTTTGTTTTTGTTGGTTTGTTGTTTTGTTGGGACTGTCAGCGTGTTTGTCTGTCTTGTCAGTCTGTGTATTCACCGAGTTTCGCTGTGAGTTCATGGTGTTGCTTTTTGTTTCTGTTGCTGCAGATAAGGAATTTGCTGGCCCAGCTAGACGACAGAGAATAGGGTTCGGGTAATGGCATATGGAATAGTTGGACCATGGATCCGCTTGACACACACGTCAATGGTGTTTCGAGTCCACCCAGGTCCGTTCGCGACGCTGGCTGTTTTGGTTTCCACAATGTTTTGCTTTTGGTTAAAAAGCAGACGAGCCACCTATGTCATGCCAGTTGCTGTGGGTGATGGAATTGAATTTGAGTTTGCACCATCGACTACCTGGAAACACGAAGACTAGAAAAGGATTGGATAGATTCACGTGTTCGATCATGACTCACCTACGAGCGCTCTTTCAAGCCGCGTGAAGCCACTTGGGTTTGGTGGGGAGGTTGGCCAGATGCATGCAACTGCCGAGGCCTGCTGTTGCCCGCGGCCCAGTCTAACGCATTTCGACGTCCGAGCGCGAGTTGAGCGCGATTCTCGCCTCGCCCGAGTTGAGCTTGAGACCCTCTCTCCCAGTAACATGGCAACTCACAGGGGGGTGCCCTCCCACAGGTGCCATGGCAACGTGGGAGGGGTAGATTGTGTGCATGGCAGTTGAGCATTTAGTGGCAAAGACAAGGAAAAGACTTTGCTTTCCGATTCTCAGTTTGCACAGGCAAGGTGATGCTGAAGGAGCACTGGAGAAGCTTCAGCAGGCGTCTTCGCCACATAGACCCAACCCCAAACCTGAAGCGCTCCAATTTCTGAGCGGTTTAAGACGATACCTTTTTGCGTGCATGTGCAAACGCCCGGCAGGCATCGCGGACATCATCGGAGGCCCCCACTCATTTATTTCAGGCGGGAGGATGGCAGTGAGGTTTTGAAAAAGTTGGGGGGCTGCTCCATGGAGAGACATGCTGCCATGTTGCAAATGGTGTGCGCTGCTTGGGCTCGCGGCTTTGCCCTGGTTTGCAAAGTCTATATGGGGCCCAGATTGTGCCGATAATTTCGTGGCCGAAGATACAAACTAGTCAAAGCAGCTACGAGAGGTACAGGATTCAGTGCATTTCCAAGAAGAGTTTTGGACGCGCGCCATGGCTTTGCGGCGGCCCCTGTTGAGCGTTTGCCTGGCTGTGGCTGCGGTTGTGGCCGGGGATGCCTTCAGCCGCGGCCTGGTGGCGCGCAGAGCGACGCCCAACTTGGGAGACCTCATGGGATCCATGGGGAAGGTGGCGGAGGCAGACGGAGGGAGCCCCCGTTGGCCGTGTCAAGAGAGAGCCATTTGTCCATCATCCTTCAGTTTTAAAGACATAGTCCGAGTCGCCAGTTCATTGAAGTCTCAGACTAGGCTGAAGCACTTTTCAGACTTTTGCAAGCCCGCGGTTTCCTTTGAGGGGCGGCCTTAGGGTTGTTTGCTGCGCTCAGGCCATGAAGAAGATGCCGGAGTTACAGAAGCAGCTGAGGGACACGCCTTCCAGCGGCACGGCTTTGGGCGGCAAGGTGAAGGTGCCTCTCTCAAAAACGGAGCTCGCTCAGCTTGCTCGCTGGCTCGGGGGGGGGGGAACGGGGGCGAAAGCTGTGCTATACTTGGGGATCGGTTGAAATTATACGAAGAAATGGCAGATGGATCAGATGGCTTTAATCGAAAATATTTCATGTGGGTTCTGGCTTGCATTAAAATGCAAGCCGCATCCCGACAATATCCCGCCACAAAGGGGACGACCCACGCCGCATTTAGCCGAGTGCATGATCCTACAAGTGAGGGCCACCCAATTGAATGACCTTCTTGAAGTTTCCTTTCGCAGCTTTCATCCAGCCACCAGGTGAGCATCAGTGGTGACTTGGCGCCCTTGGGTGTGGAGATCGACGAGAGTGTCATGGAAGCGAACCTGACGGCAGAGGTGCTGGCAGATGCGGTGTATTTGGCCATGAAGGAGGCGCACAATGCCTCCCTGGAGCTGTCCAGGACGCAGCTCAGCAAGTTCTACAAGGACATGGGTGTGCCCATGCCCGGCCAGGGTGGCGGCATCCCGGGCATGGGCGGCATGGGCGGCATGGGCGGGATGCCCGGCGTGGCGCCGCCGGCACCTGCGGCGCCTGCCCCGCCACCTATGGACTTTGATCCCGCCGGCATCGGCCCGCGCTTTGCGGACTGACCTGTGACCCATTTGAAGTGGCGTTGCGGGGAAAGCCCGAGTGGGATGAGCATGATGAGCTAACGGATCAATTCGATGTGACCTGCCTGTTCCCGAGGTAGTATTCGAAGTGTGCAAATCATTGAAACAGGGTGCTTCCGCTTTAGACAATCTCAAACAAATGGTATATTTCCACAATCTGGTAGTCACACCAAGCAGGCATGAGATGGCTGACACACTGCAGAACGCAAACAACTCTTCATTTTGAACCCTTCAATCTTAAGCCGTCCAAATCCAATCATTCCTACCTGATTGATTTGTTTCACTTGCACTGGTGCCGTCCATGAAGGGAGGCTTGACCATAGCCAATGATGCTCGCAACCCGAAACGTAGGATCACCTATAAACAAAATTGCTCCCTGCCTGGCTGGCAAAAAACAACCCCAACCGCTGTCAAGTTGAACCAAGTGCGTGAAAATCGGGGACTGGCACAGGGACCAGCACCGGGACTAGCATCAAACTATCACCAACGTCCATCTGGCAAGCAACCTGAATCACAATCAAGACTCGGGTATTTAGATGAAGGTTAGTAGGGGACAATCCTCTTGCCATAAATAGCTGCGGATATCCGCCTTAATTCTTGAAGCATGGCTCTGGGTCGACCATGTTTGTACCGGGTTTTGATTCTGACTCACCTGGCGAAGGCCTTGGCGCTGCACCTCTTGGGACGGGACACCTCCAGAGCCCTGGCGGCTGCCCTGCGGGCCGAGCCCCGGCTGCGGGAGGCTCCAACCGAAAAGGAAAAGAGAAACTACTTGGACGGGGTGCCCTCCAATCCATAAGAATGGAACCTCAGAGACGGTTTCCTGAGAAAAATGAACCTTCTGGTGGGTTCCAAGCCAGATAGAACAAGGAGGCCGCGCCAAACTGGAGGTTCTGGAGCAACCACTGTGACTCCCTTTGAGCAGCAAAGCGCGCGGCTGGTTTCGCTTGACAGCCGGAGTGCACAAAGCCATTGAGAGGTGGCCCCGCGCCTGCTGCCAGCCCTGCCAAGCAGGCCGGAGAGCGAGAGCTACCTGCAGTCCACTCAGGGCATCTCAAGTGTTTTGCTTCTAGCTCAACCTTAGCCTTGGCTCCGTCCGGCATCAAGACTCATGAGGCCAACCGCATGGCCGCCTCACGCGACAGGATGCAGCCGCAGGTGGATACTCTCCTTGGACATCTCAGCAACGTCAAGGGCGTGTCGGAAGGCTGCCATGGCTACAGGCCATACAGCGAAGTGAACAGACATGGTTTTGTTGCGGGGCCGTTTTAATTCATCAACCAACCACCAGTTGCGGACAGGCTCAGCAGCAGAGTCCCACTCAGTTGACTTAGAATCCACGGCTAGGGTGCCCAGGAGCGAGGAGTATCAGATCGGTCAGCAGGTGGAGGCAGTGATGGGCGAGCTGCCCCATGAAGATGGATTGTTGGCGGGTTCACTTTGCCATCCACGCCCGCCCAACGCTCAGACCATGAAACCCTGGGGCCGGTGGTGGTTTGGGGCCGGTGGTGGTTTGGGGGTAGAGGAAAGCCATTTTAGGTTGGATCAGTGTTAGCTGACCATTTGCCAGGGCAAGAGGAGGAAGGTTTTTGGGGTGTCGCAGGTCTACAGCAAGAGTGGCGGCAGCTGGCTCTCTGGCCAGATTGTGCAGGCTTGGTACTGAGGTTGGCGCTTGCAAACGTTCTGAGCCCAATTGAAGTGGTCTCCGCTCAGACGGTTTCTGGGATCTCAACAATAGAGAACACATGCTGATAATGCCTCAAAGAAGGACATGAAGGCGAGAGAAGAGCACAGCCAGACAGGCTAACCCGGACACGGTGAAGGTGCAGTACACTGCAGCGCACCCAGTTCAGAGAAGCCAAATCGCGCAGACCTAGCGCTGCATTTGTTCATTTTTGTGACGATTGTGGCGGGATCGATTCTCAGCTGGATGATTTTGTGCAGCACAAATGCCTATGAAAAACAACATACCAGCACATCAGGTCGGTGATGGGCTGAGTGCTCAGACAATTGCTTTGCTTGTCAACAGGCATTCCGAGCTTTAAGGCTTCTGAGTGCAAACCTTGTTTTGGTCGAGTCACTTCACATAAAAGATGGCTGTATTGCGAAGTGCTTCTTTTTTTTGGAGTTTGCTTGGGTAAGCTCATGTTTGCATGTGACATTGACCGCATGCGACGCTTGAGGGCTTGCGAGAAGCTCCTGCTGCGCAACTCTGAGAACTTGAGACCGATGCTAGCGGCTGAGTTCATTGCCAAAGTCCACAACAAAATCACTGGCCCATAACAAGTTCCGCCCTATCTGTTTGGGAAGTGTTCATGAAGATCGTACAACCAAAACTTTGTACATGGAGAGGAGGGCAGGTGCTGTCAATCGTGAATACCATCCAACAATACATGGTAATCTTACTCCAAGTGGATCTTCTCAAAGCCTTTGGGCCTTTTCCACTGTTTGTGGGATAGACAAGCAGCCCCCTTAGTGTAGAAACCCAGCCTCAAGGCTTCAAGTGTTGTCCACCTTGAGCTCGATGCAAGCGGTGTGAGCTGGGAGCGATGGCGTAACACTGGAAAAACAATTGTAAAGTCTCAAGAGCTCGTCGGTGTCAGGTCCAAGAAGGCTGCGCAGGCAAGGAGCAAACTTATGCTGACAAGACAAATTGGATGAGCTGTTGGCGGTTGAGGTTGTAGACTTGCAGAACATTTCTTGACCGTGAGCTGGTACGGCTCGCAGCCAGAGAGTGTTTTGGTTCACTGCATGGCGCATTGCCAGGTTGCGGAGGTGCAGGCGAAGGCACGAACTCAATCGTTTGAGTTGGTCATTTGCAGCCAGTTTGAGTGCACGCGTTCAGACATATTTGCGGAAGTTCAGCGGGGGGGCACATTGCCACTGACACTCTTCGAAGCTCAGTCGGCCAGGGCATCGACCCAGACCGGGCGAAAAACCAGACACCCAGAAGCACCACGCCACCCAGAAGCACCACGCCGCCCAGAAGCACCACGCCGCCAAGAAGCACCACGCCACCCAGAACGTTACCGCCACAGTCTTGGCACCCCAGTGGGGGCAGGGCTTTGACCAAGCCTGTTCAAAGGACTTTTGCTTCGTGAAGTGCAGCTTAGGGCCGAGCCCATCTCTCTCTTTTGTCCCCGACACGCGCGCGCTGCGGCGCGCTTGAAAGAGAGAGGCGCGGCATAAGTGCTGCACGAGAAAGCAAAAGTCCTTTGAACAGGCTTGGTCAAAGCCCTGCCCCACTGGGGTGCCAGACTGTGGCGGTAACGTTTCTGGTGGCGTGGTGCTTCTGGGCGGCGTGGTGCTGGGCGTGGTGCTTCTGGTGCTTCTGGTGCTTCTGGGTGGAGTGGTGCTTCTGGGTGTCTGGTTTTTCGCCCGGTCTGGGTCGATGCCCTGGCCGACTGAGCTTCGAAGAGTGTCAGTGGCAATGTGCCCCCCCGCTGAACTTCCGCAAATATGTCTGAACGCGTGCACTCAAACTGGCTGCAAAATGACACCAACTCAAACACTTGAGTTCGTGCCTTCGCGCCTGCACCTCCGCAACCTGGCTGGCAATGCGCCATGCAGTGAACCAAAACACTCTCTGGCTGCGAGCCGTACCAGCTCACGGTCAAGAAATGTTCTGCAAGGTCTAAACCTCAACCGCCAAAACAGTCATCCAATTTTCTTGTCAGCATAAAGTTTGCTCCTTGTCCTGCGCAGCTTCTTGGACCTGACACCGACGAGCTCATTGAGACTTTTTACATTAGTTGTTTTCCAGTGTTACGTCTCGCTCCCCGCTCACCTCCGCTTGCAATCGAGCTCAAGGTGGACAACGTGAAGCCTTGAGGCTGGGTTTATACACTAAGGGGGGCTCGCTGTCTTGTATCCAACAAACAGTGGAAAAGGCCCAAAGGCTTTGAGAAGATCCACTTGGAGTAAGATTACCATGTATTGTTGGATGGTATTCACGATTGACAGCACCTGCCCTCCTCTCCATGTACAAAGTTTTGGTTGTACGATCTTCTGAACACTTCCCAAACAGAGCTAGTGTGCGGAATTGTTATGGGCCAAGTGTTGCTTTGTGGACTTTGGCAATGAACTCAGCCGCTAGCATCGTCTCAAGTTCTCAGAGTTGCGCAGCAGAGGAGCTTCTCGTCAAGCCCTCAAGCGTCGCATTGCGGGGTTCAATGTCACATGCAAACATGAGAGTACCCCAAGGCAAACTCCAAAAAGAATGCACTTCGAAGTTAACAGCCAGTCTTTATGTGCAAGTGACTCGACCAAAGCAAAGGTTTGCACTCAGAAAAGCCTTAAAGCTCGGAATTGCCTGTTGACAAGGCAAAGGCAATTGTCTGAGCACTCAGCCATCACCGACCTGATGTGCTGGTATGATGTTTTTCATAGGGCAGTTTTGTTGGCATGCAAAATTCATCAGCTCTTGAGAATCGATCCCGCCACAATCGTCACAAAAGTGAAGATGAAAAATGCAGCGCTAGGTCTGCGCGATTTGGCTTCTCTGAACTGGGTGCGCTGCAGTGTACTGCACCTTCACCGTGTCCGGGGTTTAGCCTGTTGGTGTGGCTCTTCTCTCGCCTTCATGTCCTTCTTTGAGGCAGTTTTATCAGGCATGTGTTCTCTATTGTTGAGAGATCCCGCGATAACCGTCTGAGCTAGGATTGAGAGCACCGACTTCAATTGGGCTCAGAACGTTGCAAGCGCCACGACTCAGTACCAAACGGCACAATCTGGAGAGAGCCAGCTGCCGCCCACTTTGCTGTAGAACCCTGCGACACCCCAAAAACTTCCTCCTCTTTGCCTATCGCAAAATGGTCAGTACACTGAATCCCCCAACCTAAAAATGGCTTTTTCCTCTCCCCCAAACCACCACCGCCCCAAACACCACCGGCCCAGGGTTTCATGGTCTGAGCGTTGGGGCGGTTCGTGGATGGCAAGTGATCCCCCGCCAACAATCCATCTTCATGGGGGGCAGCTCGCCCATCACTGCCCTCCACCTGCTGGACCGATCTGATACTCCTCGTCCTGGGCACCCTAGCCGTGGATTTCTAAGTCACACTCGAGTGGGACTCTGCTGCTGGCCTGTCCGCAAC